ACCTTGGCAACTTGAAGATGTCTGGACTTCAAGTTGCCAAGGTTGAGAAACACTGCACTAGAAACTAAGAGGCCATAAATGCTAGTCCTCCTTTAGGCACAGGAGCCAGTTCCTTTGGGCCGATTGTACTCTCAGCCCAGCTCACATTATAAATTGTGGAGAAAATAGAGCGTGCACCCCTTATGTTGCTTTGACTTATTCAGACTAAAAGTGGGATATAAACCTAATACCGTAAAGAAATGCCATAATATAGGGAGAACTATTCTCTTGCATAGTTTGTAAAGCTTTATGCAAGGAAGCAGGTACCTTAGAATATTAATTTTCCCCTGCAAGATCCTCAAAATTCTCAGAGGGGGGGGGGATTTATGGATGAGAATGAATTTCAAAGAAAGTGCCTTGGCAGAGTAGAACTGGACTCCATAGCAACTATTTACCCAAGGCCTAAATAATCTCTCAGACCAAACCCAATTTAAGAAACCAGAGTTTTAACAGTCTCTGGGATCTTGCAGGCATTTCCATCATCTGCCAATCTTAATCTCAGTTGAAGCAACAATTTTCCTTGAAAAAAACAAAGGTTATAATGATGCTTTTTTCCCCAAAGGAAAGTGATAAGATAGAGAACTTGTTAGCCTCTGCATGGGTTTTGACTCCAACTTACGTCAGCCGGTATTCGTGTGGCTAATGTTTAGGGGCAAATGCTGGTATTGTTATTTGGGGAGTGAAAACGCAAAGGAGCAATCCCTGATTCATGTTCTTTATTGACATTAATTTAAAAATCAAAACTGTTGCCATGATGCTGTTCAAAAACCACTTGATTCCAAAATTAGTGCTGGTCTGTAAATCTCAACTCTTTTGAATAAAAACGGGAAAGTTCTGCTATTTGTGTAGAAATACCCTCTTCTCATAGATATCTGAAAGTCTGGCAAGAACTGATGGGCTTAAAGAAAGTTTACCATGTATTGCAAATTAGGTCTATGTATTACTTGTTAGCAGGAGCTGCAGAAATGCATTTCTTAATAATTTGTGACAATAGTTTGTTTATACATTTTAAATATCAGTTAATGCCACGGCAACTTAAAATTGGATTTGGATTGGATTTGGATTTATTACATTTATATGCCGCCCTTTTCCCCGAAGGGGACTCAGGGCGGCTCACAATTCAGTCAGGGAAGGGGGTACAGACAGGGGATAAAAAGACGAACATAACAGTACACAATTTAAAACACACAACAACCGTACCATTCGAGGAGGGGGGCAAAAGCTCTTTAGCCCCAGGCCTGTCGGAACAGCCAGGTTTTAAGGGCTTTGCGGAAGGCCTGGAGGGTGGTGAGGGTTCGAATCTCCATGGGGAGTTCGTTCCAGAGGGTCGGAGCAGCCACAGAGAAGGCTCTCCTCCGGGTAGTCTCCAGTCGGCATTGGCCGGCGGATGGAATTCGGAGGAGGCCTAATCTGTGGGATCTGATCGGTCTATTGGAGGTAATAATTTAAATAAGTTTTTATGAGGGCTAAACTCAGGACATAAGATCTCATATGTTTTCTATTATTTGTTCCCTTGGCAGAAGTGGTTTTTTTTCCAGCTGTGTAAAACTAACATCTACCTATTTGTGGTATCTGGATCCACCAGGACCTCTATCCAAACAACAGAATCAAAGACCTTCAGTAAACAAAAGCCGCCAACGTTTGCAGCAGAAAAAGGTGCCTCAGAAGATAGAAGAAACACTGGAATTGCCAGATGGAGCAGCATTGTCACCTCTGGAGAAGGCTGAGCAACAGGAGTCCAGAAATCAACAGGTGGAAGTTGGACTTGAACAGTCTTGTAATAGTGACCCAACTGCAGCAACAAGTCCACAGCCTGTGAAAAAGAAAATGGAATTGTTAGTAAGTCTGTGATAACATTGCAGGAATTTTACCATCCCTGATAAGTTAGTTGGTGATTTGTATAATAAATTGACATGCACATATTTTTCAGTGGTTTTAGGGTATTAGGTAAAAAGAACTTTCTAAACTTTCTCTTTTTGTTTTGGAATGTTTTGCCTACAGTATAAAACCTGGTCAATTGTATGTTTTCTGTAATGTCAGGCCACTTGCCTCTGTAGAATCATCATTAACTAGTCCAGACTTTGTCAACTAGGAATAATTATTCTGTGATTGCTGTAAATGACCCTTTTTGAAGTTTTAGTTTGACCTTCTAAGACCCCTCTTCATCTGCAGAGTCGGCATATTGATAGAAGTCCAAGGAAATCATGTTCAAAAATATGAGGCTATGTGCTACTTCCGCTTAAGATTACTCTGAGGGCCCTAATATGTGTAGTTTATAGATTTTCTGCCTTTTGGATCTTGTAACACTTCGCCTTTCTCTCATCCATACATACTATTTGATTATGTAGCCTTCTTGAGGAATTCAAGAATCCTTAGGGAGGATCATTGAGATCTGAAGTAAGTCTAAGAGACCTGACTTTGAATCCAGGCTTAGCATAGGAAATGTTTCTTGGGATTTTTCAAATGTTGAAAAAAATATTAGATACATAGTCATTTATTTATTACAAAGACTAATTTAAGAAATTGTATTTTGCCCAGAGTTTCTAGTGAGATGGGTGGCCAAATAAATTTGCTAAATAAGAGACAAAAAGGAATATAATTTAGTATTGATTCTTTTATTTTGTTATTGCTCAGGCAGGAGAAGTCTCGGTGGGAAATCCTTCAACAAGAGCAGAAACTGATGGAAGAAAAAAATAAACGCAAGAAGGCTTTCCTTGCTAAAGCAATTGCTGAAAGGTGTGGAATCTTATAGCTGGAAAAACAGTGCATATTTTATATTATATATTAGTTAATCAAATCCACTTCATTCTATTTTGCAGCCCTCCTTTAAATATGATAGAAATTGAAAGTCTTGTCAAGGTTTTATTTGAATAGTTAGCTGCCTGAGTATTTAGCTGCATTCAAGTAGGATGTAAATCAGACAAAGACATTTGAAGATATAATCCCATTAGTTTCATAAGGGGCCATCAAACTGTTTTTGTTTATGTATCTTGAGACTTTTTACCATGAGTCCTACCCAGCATAGGCAAATGATGGCATGAGTTCTAATTCAAAACATCTAAAATGCAGCAGGTTTCCTTTCTCAAAGTTACCCTTAGAAAATCCAGGTTGAAAATTGCTAGCTGCTCTTCTTGCAAATAAATATGTGGCCTTGAGTACATTTAAAAAAAAATTCTCTTGAGAATAATATGCATTTTTTTCAGGAGAATGATGCCGCATAAATGGAAACTGTTGGGAATTTATAATGCTGTTCAGTGAGTCCTGGAATTGTGGTGTCAAGCTTGATAAAGGCATATTTTAAATTGATTTGTTAGAAGCAAGCATATGATTTGGCAGGGAACATGAAATTTGTTAAACTGATGTCTATTTTAAGCACAATTTCTATTTTTTTATAATGTTTTCCTATAACTCAGGCGTTTATTAGGAAAAAAAAAGAGGGTTTCTTGGGAATCTCTCTTCCCTCTCTGGAAAATAGAATCTGCTTTTGCAATTTACTTACAAAAGAACAAACAAAAATTTTGACTGGCTTTATCAGGCAACCGTATCTTCTGTTGAAAAACAGTTGTTTATAAGTACAGGTCAAATGCATTTTACCTGTTCCTTCCACAGATCTAAAAGAACTCAGGCTGAAACAGTTAAATTAAAGCGGATTCAAAAGCAGCTCCAAGCTTTAGATGACATGGTATCTGCTGATATTGGGATCCTGAGAAATAGGATTGACCAGGCAAGCTTGGAATATTCAAGTGCTCGGTAAGGACTAAAAATTGAGGAATAATGTCAACTTATTAGTATTTTTCTACCTAAGAATGGTATTGTTTGATTTACTACCTTAAATTAACACTGTTTTCTTACAAAAAAAATATTATTTCATCAGCATCTGCTTTCATTATCTTCTGTTGCAATGCTCATTAGCTCTGCCCTGTTTTTACATTTTACTAGTATACCCTGTGGGCACAAGCAGTTTGAAAAAATGACATAATTCATCACTGTCCAACGAAAAGCTAAACAAAATTGAAGAAAGCAGCTGTGTTGGTCACAGGTCTAATTTGTTTGCATTATGGTTGAAATTGGGACTTTTTTAGTTATTCAATAGATGATGAAATATTTCACTTACTCTCCGTGATAATTGTAGTACTAAAATATGACTACTTTCAATTATCTTTAGGTTTTTATGTCTTAATTAGTAATATGTTAACTGCCAATTTTAAAAAATCGCCTTCCAATAAGAGATACAGCAAGCAAGCAAATAAGAAATGGAGTATGTCAATTGCAGCTACATCAATACGCAATTCTGCCCTTGCTAACACTTTCTACATCTCAGTAGCCATTCAGGTTTTTTTTAACTGAGTGTGGCTGAAAGGATGTCAGACTTAAAAAGTGCAAGTCTTTTACTGAAGCTCGATGGAAATCCCATTATTTCATCCCTGCTACTATTGGCTTTTCTTCTGTTAGGTTTGCTATCGATGTAAGCCTTTTTACAACCTTATTAGAATGAACTCTGCTAAAACACTATAAAATTAAGCATAAATAAATTATTATTTTTCAGGAAGCGTTATGATAAAGCAGAATCGGAATATGTGACTGCAAAACTGGATCTCCAAAAGAAAACAGACGTTAAAGAACAACTTGCAGAGCACTTGAGCACAATCATACAACAAAATGAACTCCGAAAGGCAAAGAAATTGGAGGAGTTGATGAAAGAGCTGGAAGTAGAAGCTGATGAAGAGAACTTGGAACTGGAGATTGAAGTAGAGCAAATGTTGCAACAGCAGGAGACAGAAGCTAGAAAGCAAGAGATCGAGACACAAAAGCTTGCTCAGATTGATGTGCAGGACACAGTTTCTCAGACTTTGAGTGAAGGACATGAAAATGAAAACCTTAGAAACATTAATGGAGCAATTTAGAAGTTCCCATATGGATGACCAAAGTCACACAGCAAACTCTGTTTACGAAATAAATTATGATTCATCCAGAATATGTCTGATAACATTATTTTTGATATTTGAATAATAAGAAGGACTGGCATATAATGACAAGCAGCCTCTGAATTTGTGCAGATTTTTAGTGTCTATTATTATCAGAGTACATCTCTGTGTGTGTGTGCGCGCGCAGGGATGTGTATACGGATTGTATTATATATACAAATGATCTCTTCAATGTCTACCTTACTTTTCACTGAGAAATCGGCATGTGATCCCTTATGAAGGGGAAAGAGTAATTTATCTACATAATATTTAAAGTTCAAAACACCATGCCAGTAGAGTAAGGAGTTGTATATTTCTTATCGTGGCACGACAAAACCGCACTCCACTAAAGCGCGCCCGATTAAACCGCGTCGCTGACGTCATCAGCAGGGCGACAACAGCGACCGCGGAGAAAAAAGGGCGCTTTAAATAGCGCTTTGAAAGCAAGCCAATTCAAGTTAAGGTAAGGGTTAGGGTTAGGGTTAGGTTAAGGGTTAGGGTTAGGTTAAGGGTTAGGTTTAGGGTTAGGTTTAGGGGGGTTAGGGTTTAGGTTTAGGGGTTAATTTTAGCTTTAGCGTTCACAGCGTGCTTTTTTCGTCGCGCTGTGATGACATCAGCTACGCGGTTTCGTCGAGCGCGCTTTAGTCGAATGCGGTTTTGTGGTGGAACCATTTCTTATATGAAATCCTCACTAAATCTTACATTATTGACTTAGACGTACTCCTCTATTAAGTAGTTCATTTTTCAGTGCTCATAAATGAATATAAAAGGTCACAACTGAGCAAATCAGGAGAAAATCTGATTCCTCCAACTGCCAAATATTTTCTACCCTTGTTAGTGATTCTGTAAAAAAAAAAAAAGTTGGGCCGTTAATAAATTAAATATGTTTCTGGACTAAACCTAATTACTGGGCAATAAACAGGAAATACCTTCCAATATTTTAAATATATTAATTGAAGTATAAATAAATATTCAGTAAATAAGAAACAAAACACTTTTAAATTCATATTTGGATTCTCAAGATTCTCTGGTGATTTCATTATTTCACCTTTTTATTTTATTCATCTTTGCATGTTTCTCTACCATTCATGTATTGTTGGAAGTGTTAATCCTTTGTTTTTACTTGCATAATCAGCACATGCCAAATTTCAATAAAAATGTTCCTATTTTTAAAAATTGGGTTAGTTTTTCTTGTATTGCCATGTTATGCAATTATTGGACTTCAGAGTTAAATCAAAGACTTTTATCACATGCGCTAAAATAAAATGATTTCGTAGAAAATTGTTAAATGTTCTTGTTTTTAAAAATGAAAATGTTGTGATTTAAGAATTGTAAAGCCAAATATAGTATAGCATTTTTAGTATTATCTGTAGCTTCTTTATGCCTAGCCATAGCCTACCCCTAAAACAAATTAATTCATGTTAAGAGCCATTTCAGTTGTTACCTGTTTATTTCCAAAGTGAAAAAGTCACAACATATCATGGTCTACCGACTAACTTGGTATTAGATGGGTATTTGATAGATCAAGCTTACTTATGCTACAGTGTCATCAGAGAAACTAAAAGAAGGCAAACTGTTTGGCGTGAAGGCAGATAATGTTTTTGAAGACGAGAAAGATTATTTGAAAGTACATCACTTTCGACAAACTTGTTTCTTTTATTTGTATTGTAGTAAACTATGAAAAGTAGCTGAATGTTCTTATGGCCCAGAAAAAAAGTGGCAGTGCCAAAAAGGAGTCACTCTGTGGTCGTACTAGGACCAAAGAATCTGTCATAAATACTAAATGTTCAGTGTGTTTTCCTCCTAAATGTCTGGTACCCACACTGATATTTAAGATACAAAACTGCAGGATCCAGGGATCAATATAAATTAGCAGCTCTTCACCTACCTCAGAATGTGAGTAATGTTCCTTAATATTCAGCAAAACAAGAAAAGAAAAGACTACAGGTTTTAACAGCAGTTATAGTACTTTGTATTATAGATAAATGAATAAAACCTAGGCCGTCAAAATCTTTCCAGATCAAATAAACACACTCTTGTCTCTGCATTCAGTTATTTAATGAAGACATAAATATTATGTGCACTAAGTAAATCCAGTGTTGACAGAGATACGGCAAAGATTTTGAAACAGAGGTGGCATGCTCATATAGCCCCTCGCCTTTTAATAGGCGTGGAACAAAAAGCAGAATACACAAATCAATTAAAAGAACATTCATACATATACTTTTATCAACACATCCACACTGGGCTCCATTAACCTCCTGGCCTTGGGAAAATGCCAGATCTTGAAGGCATTCTTGATGGCCAACAAGGTTGAGCTATTCCATAAGGCAGTGGCCAAGAAAGAGAAGGCAGGCTTCCTGAGGTAACATTGTCCACTTTAGCAGATCTAGTGGAACAGACAAAAACATCAAGGATGGGAGCCCCACAAGTAAACTGTCCCCACAACGTAAGGCTTTAAAGATGACAATCAGCATTTAGAATTGCACCTGAAGCCTACTAGGAGCAAGTTCAACTTACATAGCAGTGGTGATACCTAGACATGGGTAAGACAAAGGGAAAGCACACCACATCATACAGTTGCTTTAAAAAAAACCATAGAAGGATGTGGATATTTTGCTTCTGGGTCCAATTCAACACTTTAAAGTCCTTCATTTAAATCCTAAGCCTAACCTGTTATTAAATTGTTGACATTCTTAATTATAAAGTTTTAATGCTTTCATACCTAAGTTTTTATTCTATTGTAAGCCACCCAGAGTTACTTGGAATAGTAAGATGGGCGGCATATACATTTAATAAATAAATGCAGAAACCTCTGCTTTACAGGTACACTTTCCTTGCTTGCAATCAACATGGAATCACTAGGTTTTCTATGAATGGAGGTGCAGGTACACCAACTGTGTGCCAGTGACTGATGGCTTGCATTTTAGTACTTGTTTCTACTAAATGCTGGCTGTGAAACATATAATTTGGCACTTTTTTCTGTCTGTCACAGTGTATCTTCCATAGGTTTGGGGATAATTTTTATTATGACAAGTGAGATAGAAGTTTTACAAATAAGCACATATTTTATGTATTTCCCCTGTTAGATATACTACATTCAGCATTAAGGAGATTTTTGTAATTCCTATCTCAATGGATATTGATTTTCACTTAATATTTGTTCTTATTCATTCTTGGTTTTGTAAAACCCAGATCTTTCCAAAGTTCTATTAAATGAATATGTTCTTTTTTGTTCATGTTCTTCCCTTCTATCTTACCATCAGTTTTTAACTCTCATTATCTAATCTAGAGAATAGTAAATAGTAAATCCATGGGAGAAAGAAGAGTAGTATAGCTGTTTTCTATGCTAATTAATATTGAAAATACTTATTCAAACTATCTTAATCATAATTATAATTAAACAATACACACACACATATATATACAATATATATATATATATATATATATATATATATATATATATA